ACAGAAAAAATCAGCGTGTGCATCTCTTCATTACAGGGTCCTCCACATGTAGCCTCGCTGGCGGGCCCATTAAAAGACATGCAGGGACTGTGTGTGCACGTGTGTGTGTGCATGTGTGAGAAGGTAGACTCAGGCGGTCCATTTAGTTCTTCTCTGGTCTTTTCAGTTTTTTTATTTTAGACCCCTGGGTTCTTTCCCGCCATACCCCATGCTTGTCTCTTCTGGAGTTCAGAGTCTGTCCAGCTGGAACGTGTCTCTCCCCCCCCCCCCCCCCCCCCCCCCCCCCCCGCCCCCCCCCCACGTCTCCCTTGGTTCCGTCCAGGCTGAGACACAGGGGTGAAGGCCAACACCAGTCGGGGAGGAACTGTTGGAGACATGGAGGGAGACATGTCGGAGCTTTAATGAGTTACAACATGAAAGGTGACGGAGGGAGATGAAGACAGAAGAGGAGTGGGACTGCTGCGGACAGAGGGAGGGATTAAGAATAGAGAGACTGGATGGAAGAAGAGAAGATGAAGCTGGAGCAGAGCAGTTGGGACCCTGTGGTCAGCTTCGCTCCGTTTGCTCCTTTTCAGAGAAAGAAAAAGGAGGAAGAGGAGGAGCAGCTTGTGTCAGAGTCCGCCTGCCTCTCCTCTGCCTTTTACCTCCAGTGTCCCTCTGCTAACCATCCATCCTCCTCTTCCCCTCTCCTCTAAAGAACCCTTCTCAGATTTACCCGCCCCCACTCCCCCTCCCAGTCCTCCAGTTTCTCCCAGTTTGCCGTTCAGCCTTGTCTTGCCAGGTCCCCTTGTGGCTGACTGACAAAGGCGCCGTTAAAAAACCGTGTGATCCTTCATTTTAGTGCCTGCCACGCTAGTCAGAGGATTAGAACTCTTTAATGACGCTAATCCCACCCCCCATCTGAATCTCTGTAGTGAGACACCCCCCCACCCCCCCACTCTGTCTTTGCTCCCACCTCAGAAACATTTAACTAAGACATACTGCTGCATCGCTTCAAACTGTTCACTTTCACGCTTTCTTTGTAATTGTTCATGTCTTTCAGATGTTTTACTTCTGGGTGTATGAAGTGGTGGTGGTGGTGGTGGTGGTGGGGGGGGGGTATGGATCCTGGTTGACCAAAGTTGAAAATGTGTGTGTGTGATTCAGTCTGGCTCAGTTTTTCCAGCTACATTACGTCCCTGCATCCTGTTGTGCAGACTGCAGGGGGTGTCTGGACTGGCATTTTGTAGATAGAACTCCATCCTTACTCCATGAAGATGGTTCCTTCATTGATTTTATTTTGTAGATAGAA